ATGACATTTTCTGTCTTCACTCTTGAATTCAGTTGGCAGATGTTTTTGAGAACAAAAAATTCCATCTTATTACAAAACATATTAAGCAGGTTTTCCTGCCAGGCATGTCTGACATGATGTTTATTGCCTAGACCAAATCAATCCCCTTAATAAACCATAATATATGCCAGAAAGTACATTATTTCATAGTTAAGGAAAGTTGCTACATGAAATAGTAAGTACTTTGATCTCTCAAGCTCCACTCCTAATGCACCAGAAATGTGCTACATAATCCAACAGTTACTCACATCTATTTATACTCATTTAGTAAGTAAAATAAAATTCAACTTTGCTAATCTTAAAGTTTTAGGCCTGGATTTTCCTTTATTTCTGCCTGTGCATCCTAGATATTTACAAAGAAGAGATTTTGTCTATTTACCAGATGCAGCAGAAAAAGAAAATTCAAATACTTGAATATACTAGGAAAATAAAATGGTTCCAGGGGTTAAACAATCACTGATTGTAATATAAATAAATTGAATTTGGTTGCTAAAACACTAGATAGAAATGACTCCAGTGGCATTAGCACAGAAGAGAGGAGGTACAGAGAAGATAGGATATTTATTAGCCTTTACCAATGTTTTGGACATAACCCAAGTCAGAACATCAAAAACATATTTTTTTAAAGAGAGCTTCAGTTTATCCGAGTTGGCTGTTTCTGAACAATTGCAAAAATTCACATGAATGCTGAAAAAAATCAGTCAGAAAACTAGACACCAAATATCTCACATGCTAAGGAATAAGATTTTTGATGGATGTCAACAAGCAATCAATCCATAAATATTTGAGTATCTTCAATGTGTAATGCCAGGCTCTGCCAAGATTCCTATTCTGTAAACGTCTCCTCCACATTTGGATTTCTCCTTCTGTGGCCATGTAATTTTCCTTCCCCCTCCACTTCCAGTATTATTATTTTTTTTTTCACTGTTCTGGGTCTAATGCTTCTTCTTTACTTCCTATCACCACAGCCCACAACTTAGTCTTTTAGGGAAGAGATATTCAAGCAGTTCTGACCCAATATTACATAGATCAGCATCAAGTCACTGTTGCCTATATTCCACTTATACTGTAAAGTTCTTTTAACTGATCTTCTTCCTTAGACTGAATACTTGTCCTCTTATGCTCCAGTTTGACACGAGTTTGAAGAACAACCCTCATTCCTAACTGTTGATCACAGTATCTAGGCATCTCTAGACTAAGATCTAGTCTTTCCGCTTTGGTCTCCTTCTAGGGGATTGGATTCTAATGAGTGGATTTAGTATCACTTCCTGACTCCCTCACAGTATGCTCTGTACTACTGTAAAAACTGGCTCATACCTGCTTATTCTTAAGGATTGACATGCAATTCCAAAATCTATAAAGCATACTCAAAGATTTAAAGACTTGTGGGAAGATCTAGTGAGAAGGAGTGAAAAATAAATTAGTAATATTAATATTATGAGACAAAAACACAAGCGATATCTCAAGATAGCACATGACAAGTTCCATATAAGTAAACTAATCATAATAACTCCCATGAGTCATAGTAAGTAGAGGTCACTGATTATGGTGAGGGGAAGAGGTGTGATTTCAGCTGGGCATTAGAGCATGGATAAAATCTGGATTAAGAGAAAGAACAGGAAGCAAAGTTACAGAATCCATGAAGCACAAAGTGTACAGAGGGGGTAGAGCAAGTACAGTAGCTTGGCTGTACTCCTATGAACAGGTGTGTAAAACAGAAATAGAATGGTAATGGAATTTATTAATATTTCCATTTTCATCCATAATTTGAGCACCACGATAATGCTATAGCTAAAAAAGAACACAGGACATCCCACTTTTATATACTTAGATGAACATGCGTAGATTAGTCAAGGTATCAAATAAACCTTGACATACTGACTTTTTATCATTAATTTCTCGAACGTATTCTTAGGCACTGAATTAGGTAGAGGACGAACAATTTTTTTTTTTTTGATTTGGTTTCTTTGAATGTTTCCTCACAGGAAATCAAGCAGCATACTTTAATGATGCAGAACATACTAAAAAAAAAGCAGTAGTAGTTTGGGATTTTCATCCCGCTCCCCCCCTTATTCATTAAATAAAAATTTATTGTGAAAACTTTGTTCTACAAATATTTATTACAAAGGCTCTGTTTTAGACTCTGTTAGATACAGCAGTGAGCAAAACAGAATAAGTCCTGGCCCTCAAGGAGCTTGCATTAAGAGCTATGTGACCTTGGAAAAACTACTAAGTTTTGACCTACAGTCTCCTTATTTATAAAATTGAATCAATATTAGTGACCCTATTAGAATAGAATATATACATATTGTTATATATAATACAATATATATTTATTATTATATATTATAAATATATAAATTTTTAAAGACATTTAATAAGGTCTATTAAATGATAACTGGTCAAAAATCTATATAATCACCAGATGTCATTTACTGTATATCAAACTTTTATAATAATTGTTTTAATTTCCATATTTCAAATACACACACTTTGTTTTCAACTGGTTAGAACAGTGTTATAAAGAGAAAAAGGAGGAAGAATCTATATAATTAGAAGTCTTGGTTTCAACACTTAGTTCCACCATTTACTAGTTATGTGATCCTAGACAAAAATGGATCATCCGTGCATCAGTTTCCTTAACTATAAAATAAGGATAAAATTATTTGATCCACCTATTTCATGAGGTTGTTCCAAAGAATACATGATCAATTTAAAAATGTAAATGGTTAAGAAGTACATAAATCAAAGTTAATTTATCTCCATCACACGGCATGTTCTATGCCTGAAAATTATTATAAACACTTGTTGTTTGGAGATATGTAGATGGAAGGAGACTACTAGATGTCACTTCTCACGTGGATCAAAATTATCTAGGAATTAATGCACCTGACATAAAATGAACCATTCTTTTCTTTCCCACTACAGGATCATGCCTTACTATCTAGAAATATGTTTGAAGAGTATCACCTTAACTCTGCTATTCTGCACAATTTGGGAAGATTTTAAGAGAAAAAGGTGTTTATTTAGAAAAATAACATTTCACAAGTGAGACTATCATAAAGTTTTGTTATCTACGTGAGTTTATTTTTGTCTTTTACTACTTTTGATGGGAACCTAGATTGATGAGTGAAATGAGACAAGAAAGAAAGAGGCAAAAAGACATGATAAGGAAAGAAGTAAAAATGGCAGGAGTATAAAAGAGATAAAAGAATTCAAGAAAAAAGACAAAGAGAAAGAGAGCAGATCTTAACAATGAAGCAACACAAAAAGATTTTTTTCCCTTGCTGTAAAAAAAAAGTAGATGCAGGGATAAAAAAATAGATGTGAAAAACAGAATAAAGAAAATGCACACATACAAGAGAACAAAAGAAAAAATCAAAGCAACGGTGAGAAGATAAAGAGAAAACAGAAAAGAAGAAATAAAACCTACAAGACGCACGTTGAAATAGATGCTTAATTGGTACACAGCACAGGCAAATAAAAGAAACTAGGAAGAAATAAAAAATTTAGTACACAAAATCATTTTTTGTTTGTATTTTATATAGGCAAAGATTTGTATATTTCCAAAATCTTACACAATTCATTTTGGGAATCTGGATATCAGAGGTAATTTTTTTTAACTCTGTCTTAAGAAGGTGGTTTACTGACTGGATCTTATAATAGGAAGCTTAGGACAACTGATAAAGAAGGTGACATCATAAGCCTGATTCAGTCACAGGAAAGAAAGGCAGTAATATAACTACATTAGAACAAGTAAGCTACTTATGGATTCCAAATCGAATAATTGTTTTTGTTTTTCAAATAATACATTAAATAATGAGATGCTTTTCAGAGATTTATATATTGTACTCTGCCTAACTTGCTTCACTCATTCTATGATGTGCTTTGCATATTCTTGATCTGGATACATGTTTTCGGGTCTTGAGAACTTATGTGCTGCTTTCACTAGTGCTTAACTGTCATAACTTACTTAACAAACTGACCTATAATCAAATGTCGTGACTGTTTGGAGTACAATTCCCAAAAGTACAGTGATTGTGCCATGAACTAGAAGTATAATAAAGAAAATAACTTAGAAAGCCATGTATTTCCCCTCAAAGGTGGTATGAAATATTTTATTAATGAGCTTCTAAAGTACATGTAAAAATAGCTCAAGTTGAATAATCTGAAACTTTACTACTATCTTACAGTATAATTTATAAAATGTAATTTTTCTATGTTTAAATGTTCTGAATTGCTCACTTTTGAAGAACCTAACAATTTACTATCTTACTTACCCAGTAGCATTTTAGACATGCTTTACTATTAAATTATATTTCTAGCCTCCCTAGTAAGGCTTTGAAAATTGCATGAATCTGTCTCATATATATTATGCACAGTATGTCTATCAAGTAGAATGTGTCAAAGTGCAAATAAAATTGTTTGTGCCCCTTACAGAATCAGAACTCCTTGGGCAGCACTGCTGTAAGGATCCCATGCTGCTAGCATTACAAAGAGCAAAGGTTCACTGGGTAAGAAAAGAGCAAAGGACAGAGTTCCCTCATTACACTATCCCTAAACTATTCTAGCTGAAATATATATTAAGATAGTACTTACTCTTCCTCCCTCCATCTCCCTTCAGAAGTTAAGCTGAGACACTGGATGGATGGCTGCTCGCAGGAAAACAGTGCTTTCAAACTCTTACCACCCAAGATGAAGACTGAGGCTTTGTACAGTGCAGTATTAATTGCATTTGAGACTCATATAAAATATCACACTGAAAAGAGAATGATGTGTTTTCTAATTTTGAATAAAAAACAGAAAATGTTTCATCCAAGTAATACTCATGGGAAATAAATGGTTAAAAATGAAAAAATACAGTTTATAATAAAAATTAAGCAAAATAATTTATATGAAATAAAATCTAAATAAAGCAAAGGAAATAGTGAGGGAAATTAATGATTTTACTTTTTACTTACTCTGATATACAACTGCATCATTTCTTTTTCTCTTTGGGGGTTACGATACTTCTCATAGAAATCACGTCGCTTCTTTGTTTCTTTAGAAACTTTATCTTTTCTTTCCCGTTTTTCTACTGGTTCATCTGAGCTATCAGAAGACGACTGTACATGTGTCTTCGGCTTTTCTACTTCAATACAGTTTTCATTGGGATTCAGTACTATTACTCCATATCCTTCCTGTTTTGAAAGCAAAGAAGGTAGCATAATTTAATCTTGGGAACCATTTCAATTCATAACAAGTTCTTAAAATCTCATAGTAAGTGATTTAACATAGTTGAATATTCACTCAAATATTCCTGTATAAAACATTATAGTTTAAAATTTTCCAACAGAAAGTCACTGAAAATTGTTTGCCTGTATTGTATGTATAAATAAGCACAGATTATCTATGAGAAGAAAAAGACATAATTGTAACATAAAGAGTATAAAGCTTAAATTTAAAAAAACGTACGGCAGATCTCCCAGAATCTCAAAAACGATTGAAATAAATTAAATAACGAGTGCACTTTCAAATCAAATTAACATTTATAATATATATTTTGAGAAAATAACTTCTTTGAAATCAAAGTTTACACTTCAAACCATATTTTGTTGGATTTCCTTTCCTTTACAATTATGCTTTAATGGGCACTTTTTATTTAGTTGAACTTAGAATAAGCAATTAAAAAGGAATCAATCTCTTCTAACATTCTACAGATTCACATATCTATATTATTAGAAACATATACTGTCTACCTGAGCACCTTGGATTTTTTTCACCTTTCTTCTTTCAGTAGGCCACACAACTCATAAAACAAAATGAACTAATGTCTTACTATGATGTATGGAAGGAATTCTTTAATCTTGAAATTTAATTTTTCAACTAGCATAAAAATTTCTCTTTATAAAGAAGTGGTACCAGGAAACAAGTTTCAAAGTTTAAAATACAGCTTATTGAGTTATTAATTTTTTTTTAAGTTTTTAAAACATGTTTTCCTGTCTGACAATTTTAGCAAAGCAACCATTTCTACAGTTATAATTAAGGAAAATTTTGGTATTTATATTATGTTATAACTCATGGAATAATTTAGTCATGAGAAAATACAGAAGGATAAACAATTACCACTGACAAGCATGTGCAACACAAATTTTTGAAGCTATTTATCTCCTGTCTTTTCTATTCAATTCTGTACTGTGGATGTCCCAATTCTGCCTTGTAAAATCCTGTAAGGTCACACTTGAAACGTGTTATATTATGATAAAAACGTAAGAGTTGTAAAAATAGAGCTTAAAAAATCTCATCCTTACTAAAAAAAAAGTATATACTTTTCCCAAAACTATAACTGTAGAATCTTCTACTTCAAGTTTAAAATTCAACAATTTTTGCCAAACCAACCATAAGAAGATGATTTAAAAAACTGATAGCAGTAATAATAAGCCATTATTAGCACAGACTGAATTATCTTATTTTTAAATATGCTACACTGCTACACGTATTTGTTTTTTTATCAAACTACGTGCAAATTTCATGGAGATTGTTTGAATTTTTTCCCCCAATCAGTTGATATTATTGTCTAAAACCATGACATGGTGTGGAGATTTTCAAGATCATTGAAGTTCTGAGGTTAGTGATAGGACTGTTAATTAAGATATAGTTGTCTTACATACATGAAAACTAATAATATATGCCAAACATTAACAAAACACCACATATTTTTCAATACATGTTCAAATAAAACTTTTAGATAAATATCTCTTTCATGAAAGGCTTATAAAATACTTCACAAGTTTTAAAACTTAAACATTCTACATCAAAGCACAAGAGAATGTGTGTTTTTTTTTAAGTTTCTTAGCTGGTAAGTCAAAGTTTTACCAACAAAAGATATTTTATTTGGTCCTGCTTTATTCTAATCTGTATAGCTATTCAAAAGTCTTGTAATTCATTGTGATCACTGTCAGGTAGACAGATTGTCACTTGGTGATTTTCTACAGTTGGACACACTTGACTAGTTATTAAAATCACATTTGAAGGAAGTTCCTACCCCTCTTCCTTGTGCCTTTTACAACTTTTCACACCCTTCTCAAATTTCAGCTATAACTTCTCCACCCACCAAAAGTAAGTTAAAGAACACTGTTGCACTCTGCTAAACAGGGTGAAATAGAGGCATTGAGTACACTGTCTCTGGTGTAAGGAACATAGTCAAAACAGGTCACCATAGGCCAAAAAGGAAATTGCCTCCTTACTAGATTCTGTACAGTGAGTAAGTGGTCTCCTGTCATGTCTCTTCCCTGCCTTCTCTGAGTGAATTGAACTTTAAACATACACACACACCCCCCCAACACACACACAGAGCCTCTCATACTACAGATGAATTAGAGTTAGCAAGCCCAAAACAGAATCTTAGAATTCTCAGAGATGAAAATAATGATATGCTACATTTTAACGATAATTCAAAAAATTACAAACTCAAGGAAACAAAGTGGGACTTTAATAAGTGGAGAGAACATGAGCATCATCTTTGCACAATGGATGAATTCCAAATAAAGGTAAACTCTTTAGACAAAATTTAAAGTCACCAGAATTACAAAACTATTACCCTAATTTATAACTTAATCACTAGAAATAATATTTTCATAATATCGGGTTTATTTTAGCAGAAGTTTTTTCCTCAATTTTTGGAAATCATGGATTAAAAAATTATTGTGCCCACTTGATCTCAAATGGTCTCTGAAATTTGATGTGTACCATCTAAATAAGTATAAAAAACAGATACACATAAATCATCAAAGAAGTAGTATTTGTCTAAGTTATTGATTACGTAACTGAAAATTACATGACTCATTTGTCCAATTTTATAAAGACACAATGTCAATTTTTCACGGAGGCATCAACAAATGAAAAATGATTCTATTTTTAAATCACTACTATATAAATCAATTAAAGAATTTTTATCATTTAGGTTTCAACAATGAATGTTTCTCTTTAAACATCTGAACTATTTAGAAAATATTTTACCATTTAGATATTTCATACTGCCAATTTAATTAATGGCATAACAATCAAGAAATATTCAGGAACACTTTCTGCAGAAATGAGAGCTAATTTTAATAAATGTCTTTGTTGGAAATTCAATTATCATCTACAAAAAACTTACATTTTTCAATTAAATTTTTCCTGATAAATTAATTAATGCAATATTCACAGAAACCATTCATAACCATTTTATAATGAGTAGGAGAAAGCTGGAGCAACAAAATAAAGTTAACTATCCCATTTACATGCTCTAACCACAGAGATGTAGTAAAATTTCATCTTTTCTTCCTTTTCCTCTGTCACATATAAACATTGTCAAAAATAATCCCTTTATATAATAAAGCTGCAAAGATTTTTGCCATGTCAACATTAATATATGGAAACCAAGGAGTCAAAGCAAATAGTCAAAGTAAAACAAAGCAGACAACATACCAGTACTTAAATTTAACTGTTTTAAGTAGAATAATATCAATTTATACCTTAAAAAATCAGAATAAATATCATTTTAAAAATTCCTTCTATTCTCAGTAACTCAATCAGTACACACAGAAATAAATAAAAAGAGATTCTAGTTTGACCTTTAACAAATGTACCCATAAAGTTTTACAAATCTACCGTATAAAATCAGGCATCGAATATAATATAAAAGAACTGTGCATTGCTGCTCTAATGAGGAGGTTTCCATAACTAAGGCTTAAAACCTCAAACTTTTATATTTAAGTATTTATTTTATATTTAATTATTCCTTACGCATGCTAAATTTCTCGTAAGATGAAAAGTTAGGTCATTTCAAATATACATGGAAACAACTTCTGTCATCTTTAACGAGATAAAATGATCAAACTGATTATCTAACATTCTACAGTTAAATAAATAAAACTTCTGGCATCTTTCATAATGATTTACCCGAATCAATTCCAATATTCAACATTTCAGGAGACAGAGCACACAATAAGGTTGTTAATTAACTCTCATGTTTGATCGCATAGTCTAGTAGCCGATCAAGAAGGTGATCAAGAGGACAGATATTGGTGAAAGTAAGCTTTTTGTTTCTCTAATTTATCTCATTCCATTTTCTATATTTTTGTAGCTATAACTGTAGTTTGATCTTCAGACCTGTGTTTATAAGGTATAAATCACGGGATCTTAATCAGAAAGGCTCAAAATTTTATTGCTAGCTGCAGCATTTTATTCGGCACAAGTACTTGCTGTGATTTAAACAGAATACACAGGCCTCCTTTACTTTGAAGTCTATAGATGTGCTTACTAATAAATAATAGTTCATTTATTATTCAATCAACAAATGATGGCTTAGGTCAGAGGTCTAAAACAGACAGGTGATGCCAAACACAAAGAACCAAAGAGGAAACCTTGCTAAAGAAATTAAATCAGTACAGAAATGTACTTATCAAGAAGACTCTACAAACAGAAAAAATTTAAAAATGCCTGACCAAAACCAGAATGTACTTTTAACCCCAAGAGAAACCTTGCTAAAACTGAAGATTTATCCAAGTTAATGTACCTATTAATTACGAATTATAAGGAAAATGGAAAATAGAAGCAAATTCTACATCTTTTCAAATCTCTTGTGGTTGGTTAAATAAAAAATCAGCTGAAAGAACTCAGCTCTGCATATTAACCTGCCAATACTGCAAGCCACATGTGACCAAAGAGGCCAAGGGCCAGAGTAGAATCCTTTGACCTATGGAACTATCCATTTTGGCCTTCAGGCAAGGCTCTGTAAGAGATCATTTTACACAGATTTATCAATCATATTTTTCAAGTTCAGCCTTCTATCCATTTGGTTTGAGAGAAGATAGGTGCCCATCCACAAGGGAAATGAAACCCGAAGTGTTTTATCTATAAACTACATCTACCTATGGTTAAAATGGACAAACCACTGTCCATTCATCTTTTCTGAAAGACGTATGTTGTGTTTATTTTCATCTTTTTCACAAGAAGGGTATGCATATGTCAGTGTCGCAACATCCTAGGTGCAACAGTGAGATGAGGTCATGACAACCAATCAGAAGTCACTAGTGAAGCGTTAAAGTAAACATAGCTGTTTGAGCTGCAGCTCTGCTTGAAAAATGCCCCCTCCATTATTTCAGCAATTTTCTCAAGACGTGACCTGGGATTGAAATGCCTGAAATGTCACTTGACT